ACGAATCGAAAAACCGTGCCGGTGGCTGTACAGGAAGGAACGGTGTTGCCTGAAAGTAGTGAAACCATAAGAGTACGGCGGTTGCAAGGAACTGTAGAGAAAGCAACATCTGTCATGGCGGAACCTCCAAAGCGCAATGAAGGTGTTGGTCAAGGAACTCTGATTGGAAAGGGGTTGGCCACATCTGTTAAAAAAGTTACAGTACGAAGAACGTCGGTTGTCAGCGATGAGTGGGCCCCTGTAGAACTTAGGGAAGAACAAGAGAACGATCCCTTTTTAAAGAAGATGCGACAATGGAAAGAGGAAAATCGTCGACCTACTTGGCAAGAAGTATCGAAATTCTATCCAGTAGTTAAATCATATTGGGCTCAGTGGGACTCCTTTATCCTGGAAGACGGCTTATTAAAGCGAGTACTTGAAAATGATGATGGTTCCGAGAACAGAAGACAGTTGGTCATTCCAAGAAGTAGAGTAGCTGAAGTACTTTGTCAATTACACGACAGTCCATCAGGAGTTAGGAAAACCCTTCAGAGAGTTCGGGAAAGGTTTTACTGGATGAACAGTTCTGATGATGTAAAAGACTGGTGTAAGAAATGTACCACCTGTGCTATGAGTAATGGACCTCAACGAAAAAGGAAGGCTCCCATGAAGCAATACAACGTTAGTAGCCCATTTGAGAGGATTGCCTTAGATATTGCTGGACCATTCCCCGCGACCGAAGATCGTAATAAATACATTTTGGTGGTTATGGATTATTTTACAAAGTGGGTGGAAGTCTATGCCATTCCAAATCAAGAGGCCGCAACTGTTGCAGATGTATTGATAAAAGAGTTTATCTGCCGATTTGGAGTGCCCTTGGAGATCCACAGTGACCAAGGCAGAAATTTTGAAAGTCAACTTTTCCGTGGAATCTGTGACAGACTGGGCATGAAGAAAACCATAACCACAGCATTACACCCACAATCCGATGGAATGGTAGAGCGAATGAATAAGACCATTGGCAAATATCTGTCAAAAGTGGTTTCAAACCATCAGCGAGATTGGGATCAGTATCTTTCGCTCTTTGCAATGGCTTATAGATCCGCTGTCAATGAATCAACAGGCCAAACACCAGCAAAGGTCTTGTTTGGGCGTAAGATGAGACTACTGTGCGACCTCGAGTTTGGATGCCGACCTGGAGAAGATGTAGCTGGTGAAGATTATGTGATCCAGTTACAAAGAAGAATGGACGACATGCATGAATTAGTTCGCTCCCATCTTCAAATCGCCAGCGACAGAATGAAGAAGCGATACGATACTCAAGCAACAGAAGGATGTTTCAATGAAGGCGACAAAGTCTGGCTCCATAACTCAAAAAGACAAAAGGGTTATTCTCCGAAGCTTCAAAGGTCTTGGGAAGGTCCGTACCTCATCAAGAATAAAATAAATGATGTAATTTACCGTATAAGTAAGATCCCAAACGGTAAACCAAAGGTAGTGCATCAAAATAGGTTCGCTCCATTTGAGGGTGACCATGAAGAAGTAAACCAACTTCGAGAAACACCAGACCTTGTCTTTGAAGAATTTATAGGTGCATATGGAGGTACTGGAAAAGCCAGATATGGTGTTACGACCGAGCAACAAGATCTGCTCTCGCTTCCGAAAGACTACTCGTTGGTCCATAGTACTTCCGCCAGCATCAACGACGCGCAAGAACTGGCATATGTGTTCCGTAAGAAGTTTGATCGACTGGTAGAACTTCAATATCAGTTACCAGGCCCTGGAAAAGCCTTGAAACTTCAAGACGCGTCGCGTTATCTTTTCTATTTAATAACGAAGAACACCTTCCGAGATCGATCCACCTATCAGAATGTATGGGAAGCATTACTTAGTCTAAGGGAGCACGTACGGGAGTCCAATGTACAGAAACTAGCCATGCTAAAGATAGAAGGAAATCAGGAAATCATTAGGTACATGGTGGAAGTAATTTTTCAAGATACCGGAGTTCAAATACTGGTCTGCAGCCATTCGCCCAGTGCCCAGGTTACAGCGAAGACAGTCCCTTGTTACTTCCATGCAACTGGAAATTGTAAAAGAGGGTTCAGTTTCGTAAGAGTTCCAGGAGGAACTATCTCTTAAGGAGGGGGCAATGTAATGTGAGCCATTTCATTATTCAGTATATCTCTAATACTCCAAGTCCCTCTCTGTCTTATTTGGCCTTTGAGGCTCAACTTGTCCGATTATCATACATAATTAAACCCCCCAAGACCAAACATATGTGACGACTATGGCGGAGGAGCTTTCGATGACTGTTCGAGAAAGAACGGGATAATGTTTCTAGTGTATTTGTGAGAATAAGTGAACTTTAGCACATTCGCCAATTTTTTAAATTTGTATATAAATATTGGTGGAAGACCAAGCGAGAGTTAGTTAGTTATTATATGGACAGTGAAGATAAATAGTAAACAGTTTAAAGACATTCGAAATATATATAAATTAGAATAATAGTGTTATAAAATAAATGTTTAAATAAATTATTAATAAATAAACAAACATCACAATACGTTATATTTTTAACATCCGTCAAATTTTAACATATTATAGAATTACCACTAAAGAGATATTAAAAACGTACCTATTCACTCATAGACCTGAAACTAGATCTCATTAATGGATATAAGGGTTTGTAATTAAGGTTGGCGTCCGCCCATAGATATCTGCGGTATATACGAGGTTGATTTTAAACGAAGCTTTCGGGAAAAATATACTTCCTGGTATTAATTTTAATATTGAAAACCGTTCATGAAGTATGCATAGGGGTTGTAAAGACTTCTTAAGAAACGGAGTTGTTCTAAAGTACTCAAAAGATGACTTTCAGTTTCGGTATATAAACCACATATAATAGTAGTGACTTACCTAGGAATTTTCTTTAAAACTAAACATATTTACGTGTTGTCTTTCCGTTACTTGTTTAGTTTTTTGAAAGCTTGGTTTAAAATTATATTGATTTTTTTATGAAAACACAATTGTGTGGTATATCACGTGACAGCAGAAAGTTACAAAGTTAAAATAATTTTTAAGCATTTTCTGCGAAATTATTTAGATAAACAGTTTTCGATATATGTCCAGACGCCGCCCTTAAAGCATCAGTTTTTTTTTAAATTTAAGGTATGATCCGATAGTAACCGACTACTAACCGTAACTAACTAGGATTTTTTGACAGCGGTTCCTGAAAAATGCAATTTGTTGGTTACTTTTGGACCACGACTTAATGGTAACCGTAAAAATATAGCGGTTAGTGAATTGACGTTTAGGTTACCATTTTCAGGTAACCGCGTCCCTAATTTAACCGCTTTTTCAGGAATGTCAAGTCGAGTAACCGATATTTCGGTTAATATCGGACCATACCCTTAAATCCCGAGGTGGCTATGGAAATTAACACATTTTAATGTGTTTAATATTAAGAGGACTATTTACCGTAAGAACATACAGACAAGGATAACGGTATAATATATGGTGTCCAAATTTGACCTTCGGATTTAATAATAAATCATAAAAACCCTTGAAATTTTATGTTATTGTATTATTTTAAAGTTTAAATGTTGCGATTAATAATGAAAAATGATATCCGGCATGTGACTCCCCTGCTTCTTTAGCATGCTAACATTCTTTTTCCAAAATTTTCAAAAACATTTTCGCAAACATTATGTTCAATTTCTTCAACTTTTTGAATAATGTTAACTCGAATCTGTTCAGGTGTTTGAGGGTTATTAATATAAACTTTTCCCGTCAAAAAGCTCCACAAGAAATAATTCAATGGTGTAAGGTCGCACGACCGAGGCAGACAATTAACCTCAGCTCTTGGAGAAATTATTCGATTGCCAAATCTATCCTTTAAAAGATTTTTTGTTTTATTCGATGTGTGGCAAGTGGTACCGTCTTGCTGGAACCACATGTTCTGGACATCCATATCTTCTAATTCGTTCCACAAATAATCTCTAATAATTGTCCTGTATCGCGCTCCGTTCAGAGTTATCGCATCACCAGCTTCATTTTGGAAAATATATACCCGATGTTTTTCTATTGAAATATCTTCATAAAAAACCTCTCAATAACTTTAACAGATGGTGCTAAATTTCTTCCGAAATGCGTACGGCATCTTCTTGCAGTTTCAGCAGAACATTCCCCATTTTGGTAATAACTTGTCACAATAAAAACGGGGTTTTCGATGGACAGTTGTTCCATGTTGACCAAAAAAACAAGTAACTGCGAAGTTTTTACTTGACATATATCACCATAGAAATACTGTCAATGAAGATTACCAAAAATGGCGGTCAATTTAAATCGGAATGTCAAATTTGGACACCCTATGGAAAGTATAAAATTCGGTCCTGATGAGAGGAGCTTAATTATTATAAAATGTGTTTTGCTACAGGTTTCTTCAATAACTCAATTTGCCTGTATCTTTAAGTTTAAAGATTACGAGTGAATTCCGTTTTTTGGGTTAACATCATAATTTTAAAATTAATATAGATATCTACTTGGTTCTTTTTTTAGATTAAAGTACACAGAAAACTGGTTCAAAAGTGCTAATTTTCTAGATAGACATTATTTATAAATTTGTTCAAATATTTTTGTTTTATTACTTTCTTCAGCTAGCACTAATTTTCCATAGTTTAGGTATTGTTACTGTTTCCTAGAGCAGTCTTAAGATATTTGGAACTCATAGGCAACTAATGTCCCTCTCTGCACGCGTTGCACTACAACCATCAAACTGATTTGAGTGTAAGCAAAATTGCCACCCAAAAAGTTAGACGACAAGGGGTATATCCCATTTAGACTTGTAGTTAGAGTGTTTATGCAGTTTCCCATCGCCATTTTAGGAACAGAACAGTGAATTGTCGAGTACGGAATCCTACATGTGCATGAGAATAAATTTTTAATGATGTACCTAAATTAAGAAAAAATCCCGACAGGGAAAATTCACATAAATCCCATTATCGATACCTTTTTTTTTTCAGAAAACTTACCAATTCTTCAGATACTCCAGGTTCAGCAAAACGTGTCTTAGGGAGTATAGAACGATCATTTCAAAAAGTAGTGAATGTATTAACACCTAGAAAAATCGAAGAAACAATAACAGGACGACCTCCTGTTCTAACTAGCAAGGTATTTTTTTATATACTATGTTAATTTGATGACTATATTTTTTTGTTTTTTAGGAATTATTTAATGTTTCTACTACTCAGTGTCGAGATCCAGAATTTGTAATGATCGAACTTTCGAAAGCACTGGAAAAGAAGGGCGTTACGTGTAAACGGAAAGGGTAAGTTTGATATCACGAATCTCTACAATTTCTAATAGTTATTGTATGTATACATGTTGCACGAAGCTGGAATTTCACTACGAGCGATGATATTGTCGGCCACTGAACGTTTGTCAATACGCTTTGCACAAGTACATGTGAAAACTACCTCGTTGTAACGTTGGCCTGGTCGTATAAGCTGGCATCTATGATAATATTCGTTTCCTGCTCGCTTTAATGCTAACTCTCTGTAGTTTTCACACGCATTGGTGCAATGCATATTTGAAGGTGTTGGTACTATATGGCTTATAGCTTGCGTGTAATGTACTCAGTTTATTTTATCATTTCACAATGAGCGATGCTATAAGAAATCTTACAGCTTTGGTTAATAGGTTAATTTCAGGACTAGGTTGTACGTGTTGTTTTTCTCTAAATGGTTATTACAATATCATTGCTTGTTAATGGATTTGATGAACAGCTAATCTGTAGGTAAAGTTTGTGAATTTGACATAACAATAGCATTTATGGCTGCTAGTTACAAACTAAAAAAAGAAAGGTTTTGGTTAGCCAATCCTATTTAAGAGAAGAACGATAGGAGTTTACCATATTTCATGATTTAAGTGACGAAACATGTATACATTACTTTAGGTAACTATTAGTAAAGGTACAATTAACGTATAACCTAACCTCAACAGAACATCCACTGTAACTTCCACAATTCCGTAATCATAGAATACTCAGGGACGCAAGACGAAAGAGGGGGAGACATATGTCTTGCGATAGATTTAAAATATCGCGCGGAAAGTATATTTGAAAAATAAAAGCTATATCGTTGATATAAATACAGGGTGCCCCGAAATTAGACGGTCATATTTTAACAGCGTAATCTACATCCCAAAATAGGAATAAAAGTTCATATAAATATAGGTCCAAAAACGTTTCGTTTTCGAGATACAGGGTGTTTCAAGTGAAGTCCTGATGGCACTTTTCGGTAAATATTTTCTAAAATTTCATTAGTCACCCGTTTTCCAAAGTAAAAAAAAATAAAAGTTCCGATGTCACAGGCCGACTAATTATTGTTTACACTTTCGAATAAGATAACCTCAACTTATCATGAAATTTTCGAATACTTTTTTCTTGAAAATGGTGCGTCCTAGCGAGATGCAACAATAGTAGCTTTATTACAAAGAAAACATTGATTTTCCAAATTTTATAGTCAAAAATGTTAAAAACTGCCAACAAAAATTTTTTTACAATTTTGCCCTAAGCCTCCCCTAATTTATCCACCTTTTGAAGATGAACAAAAACTGGGGTTTAGTCCATTAAATAGAGCGTAAAAATATTAGCATTTGTACCAAATTTCACTTAGTTATCTTTAAACGTTTAGAAAATATTTACAAAAAAGTGTCATCAGGACTTCACTTTTAACACCCTGTATCTCGGAAAAGAAACGTTTTCGGACCTATATTTATATGAACTTTTCCTTTTATTTTAGGATGTAGATTATGCTGTTAAAATATGACCGTCTAATTTCGGGACACCCTGTATATCTTATATCTTGCGTGTAATGAACTCGTTTTATTATAATGGTGAGCGAATTTTCCCTAATATATTAAGCCGACTACGGACGATAAGCGATAGTAAAATATATATATTATAGCTCGGCAATGAGCTATAATATCATATAGTTAAGTTAACAACACTTTAAGTTTCCAAAAAAAAGCAAACTTTATTTATTTAAAAAATATACAAAAATGGATCTTTAATTAACAATGTTTATCGTAAGTGATTAAAATAAAAAAGAACGTTGATTCCCACGTTGACATGGTATTTATAATCTCGGGTTCATTGTCGCCAAGGTGCAAAGCGCTGACTTTGCTGACGAGGCACTCCGGGCATTGAACGGTGGGTTTCTATCACATTTCTCCTCCCTCCTTTGGTCCTGGCTTCGTCCTCGAAGTCTCTACGAGTAGCTCCTGAAGAACCTGGATTTGTGCTGGTTGTAGTTTGGGCCCAAAAAGAATTTTTGATATTCTTTTCTTTTTCTTTACTACGATAGTAAAAAGGATGGCTGAAACAGAAATTATAAGGACAAGGGCGACAGTGCTGAGTCCTGTTGAAATTTGTGGCATAAGTGCTATTGGCTCTATTGGTTGGAGTTGTCCGTGGCTTTCTGGAATATTCAATTTTTCAATTTTTAATTTATGTTCTGGAATTAGTCTAATTGGGATGACTTCTGGAATGGCGATTTCTTGAATAGTTTTCTTATCATAGTGAATTCCTTCTATGTCGATAGGTTCATCTGACAACAGGATGCTGCTTTTTCGGATTTCTTGTTGATTTATTATTATTGGGTGGACTATTCCCAATAAAATTACTTTTCGGGTTTCCTGTGAAAAGTTCTCTGTGATCAATGTTTTGGTGCAATTTTGAACATTAGGGATGAGGCATCTGGACTTCACGGGCTTGGCACATATAGTGTAATCTGCTTGGCCGGTACATGTTTCATACCATTTGCTATTGGCATAATAGTGTGCAGGAGGCAAAACCATTATGTGATCATTATTAGGGATAGGATAAATTCTAAAGGTGGGGTAAGCGTTAACGTGGAGGATTGGGATTTTGAGAATTATGAGCATTGTATTGGGTGTGACGCAAACTAGAGATTTAGATGATTCGATAAGTTCATATGGGTGTTCGTCATCGACGAGTAGGGCATTTCTTGAGTAAATTTTTATAAGGTTTTCTTTTAAGTCCTCGAGTTCTTTAAGAGTAAATAATTCTATATTTGACAAATTTAAATGTGAAAGGGTAATTGTCCGAATAAGTTTCATAAGAAATTCGTTAATGTTTTGAAGATTTATTATTTCATTATGTAGGGTAATGTATCCATCAAAATCAGCTGATAATTTATTAATCGCTAGTAAAAGGGCTCTATTATTTTTAGTTACTTGTTCTAAAAGTTTATTGAATCTCGTATCAATAGATTGGCCAAATGAGATTTGATTATTAAATTTTTTTATTATTTCATTTTGTTTAACTTCTATTGCGGTAATGTGAGTCTTTAGTAAATTTAAGTCAGAGTCGTCAGGATTTCCGGTTATGTATTTTATAGTCGTGCCAAGAAAATTAAATAGTCCTTTTTTCTGTTTTCGTGTTATTTTATGTAGGTTGTCTTTTGCTTCACCATGTATGTGATTGTATTGAGTATTTAATAGAGAAAGTGGTCCAGTTTTTAATGAATTTTTAAAATAGTCGTTAAGGCTGATATCTAAAGTTTCTTCTAGTTTTTGTAGGTCAATGTGTAAAATGTGTCTATGATAATGTGAAATTTCTCGGGATTTGCCAATTTCTTCAGCGTAATATCCATTATTCGGAATCACTTGAATTTTGACAAGTTGTCCCTGACGTCCCAGGGAGAGGATTGTCCTGTAAAGAAGTATCGTCTTGAAAATTTTTATTTTTTATTTTTCGTATTCTTTTAGCAAATTTTAAATGAGTACTAGTGTCGTTTTGTTTCTTAGTTTTACCAATAATTTTTGTGTTAATTTGTTTTTTAGGGTGTATAATAGAATAAGGGGCATTTAATTTAGGCCTATGTTTTTTCTTAGTTACATAAAGGGTTTGTGTAAGATCTATTTCAGGTACGGTTTCGGCACTTTCGTTTTGTTTTTCTAATATTTTCTGTCTTTTTTCTTTTTGTTTGTTGTATAAGTCAGTTATGAAAGGACGAAGTTCATCCTTATGTCTTTGATTGTATGTTTCATACAGGGGAAGATCAAAATCAAAATGTATTTCTTCGGCATATGGTCCGTATAATATTGAAAAAGGAGAGTAATTTGTGGCACTATGAATTGATTGGTTATAGATTAATACTGCATGTGTAAATGTGTCGTCTAAGGGGTCTTGTGGGTTTTGATTTCGTAATGTTCTAAGTTTCTCAAGTAGGGTAGAGTGGAATCGTTCTACGGGGGAGTTTGATGATGAATTATTTACTGTGGTATAATGAATTTCAATTTTATGTAATTTCATAAATTCGATGACTAAGGCAGAATTAAATTCTTTACCGTTGTCACATACGACTTTTTTGGGGTAATTGTGGTGAGAGAAATAATGTCTTAATTTACTTAATATCGAGATTGAAGTTTTATCAGGAATTTTATAACACTGAGCGTATTTTGAGAAAGAATCTACTATTGTCAGATAGAGATTTTTATTGCACTGAAATATGTCTATGTGTATTATGTCAAAAGGTTTCTGTCCTAGTAAAGGGCCTAATTGTGGAAGTTTGTAAGGGTGTCTTTCATATTTATTTGTTAAACAAATTTCACATTTATTAATGAGATTAGAGATTGTTGTTTGCATAGAGGGCCAGTAAAATTGATGCCTTAAATGTTTATAAGTCTCTACTATGCCGTTATGATTTTCATTATGATACTTTTGTACACATTCTATTTGTTTTTGTTCGTTTTCGATGTCTTGTAATAATGTGTTGCAAAATATAGCTTTAACAGTTGTGTCTATGTATTCACGAAAATATTTACAAACAAAAGGTCTAAATTCGTGAGGTATTTTTATAGCAAATTTTTGATTTGGTCTTAGTAAACTTTTGAATGCGTCAGTAATTTCCATTATCCAGTCATCGGTAATTGTTACAGTGTGTCTGTGTTTGTTAAATAATTTTTTATAAGTTATGTCATACTCTTTAGATTGAGGGACAAAGATAATTTGATTTGTTGAAAGGTTAATGGGTTCTTCCGAAATCGGAATTCCCGCAATTGGGTTTTCTGCTGCCGTGTGTTGCGTGTTATCAGTACTAGGGGGTTGTCTGTCGTTTAATTGTTCAAAAAATTCGTCGAGGTCAAAGTCATTCAAGTCATTAAGATTTGGGGGTTCGGCACACATAGAATCGCCGGTGAGTGCATTTATCTGTACTCGAGAAAGGGCGTCGGCTACTTGATTTTCTTTTCCTTTTTTGTATTTTACCTCGAAATTATAATCTTCGAGTTTTAATCTCCAGC